TCGGACGCCATGTTTGTGGATGTGATTCACACAGATACCTCACCCATAGTCCCTAACCTAGGTGAGTGCCTCACTCCACCTCTTGGTGACCAGGGATGTAACTGGTAAGAGTAGGTCCAGGGGTGGTATTCAACATGGTTAACTACAGTAATAGCTTGGATGCCAACCAGTCGAAGTGGGTGCCAGCTACAAATCAACAGCCAGCCCAGTGCCAGTGGAATCAGCCTGTGGCCCCAGGCAGGTCACACACACACTGGTGTAGCCTATGGAAGGCTGTTGCTCAGTCCTCAACACTGTGACCTTCCCTAGGCTCCACTATCCATTCCTGCACTGGTGGTGGTGGTGGGGGGGTGGTGGTTGGGTAGGGGAGGTGTTGAGGGTCCTCAGTGCTGCTGCAGAGGCGGGAGAGGCTTCTGCCAGCACTGCTGTGCTCACCAGCCAGAAGCCAGCCTCCCTGCTCCTTAGCGCTGCCTCCCTTGGAGGCGGGATAGGCTCCCTCAAGCTTGGCAGTTGTGAGCATGGCTTCTGGCTAAACTGTGCTCCCCCTGTGGGAGCGCACTGACCACCAGGGGGCAGCTCCTGCATTGAGAGTCTGCCTCCTGGTGGTAAGTGCATATCATAGTGAGTAGTCCTTCTGCTTTTCGGTTGTTTTGCATATTAGGGATTTATTATATAGGATGCTTGACCTGTATTTGCAAAATGCAATGTTAATGTTTGAATATTTTGCCCACTTATTTTGTGGAAACTTTGGTTATAGTGTGTGTTGTTGGAAACGAAATATATTCCTTTATTTAATGCTTCTAAAATAAAATGGTTGAGTTGTTATTAGTTTAAAGAAATGAAAATTTAAAATAAATAAAATTATGTTAAAAATTAATATTACATAAACTCAATGTTCTTTTTTCAATATTTTCTTATGTAACACCTCATGAAACATGCCAACAAAGGGTATGTTTTTAATAATAGTGATGGTTTTTTAATAATAATGTTGGTTACCATGGGCTGCATTGACATTTTGTACATAATCACTCCTTAATCATGGTAACAACACTAGAAAGTGGGCATTATTATTACTGTTTCATAGCTGAGGACACAGAGGCTTGAAAAACTTTAGTAATTGCCCGAGATCACGGAGCGTGTAAATAGGACCATGATGTGATCACGGGTCTGTGTGCTTAAAAAGCCAAAGCATCCAGCCATTATGCTGGGCTCTCAATACAACAATGAGATCTCAATATAACCTTCTAACATAGAAATCAAAATTTCAGAATGAGTAAAGGACTGGGAATTGCACCTTGTCGCGGGACCCTTCCCTCCCTGCTCACCGCCGCTTCTGATGTTTCAGGTTTTGGAATGAGCCAGAAGGTGGGCCATCTGGATTTCTATCCAAACGGGGGAAAGGAAATGCCCGGATGTCAGAAAAATATCCTTTCATCCATCGTTGATATAAATGGAATCTGGGAAGGTACGTGCATTAGCAAAGCAAGATGGCAGTGCCCTCCCTGGGGAGAAAGCAGGATGCATGGCCGGGACCTGGTAGCACTGAATTTGCCTCCACGTCCTGCTCATTCTGTCCCAGGCATTGTCACAGCGCCATGAGGGAATTACTCTGCTTATCCCCATTTTACAGCTGAAGAAACTGGGTCTGAACAGTTATCAAACTTGCCCCAGCTGCTTGCACTGCTTGCTCCTTGAAGGGCAGGTACAAAGGCTTGAAGGGCTTTGACATTCTTGCCCTTTGCTGTGGACAGGTGCTAGGACAGGAAAGGGACTGAGCTGGTAAAAGGACCAAGTGGGGACACGCTCTGTGGGTTTGGGGAGCGCGTGCATGGAGCGGGTGGAGCCTGGAGGTCTAGGGGGGATGAGGCTTGTGCGAGTCAGTGTCAGAAATTCCAAACCTGTAGAGAATTTTTATGAGTTCATCAGAGCCAAACTGACAACAATTGCTGGGCAGCAAAATCTCAAGGGACTGAGAACATGCTCCGGAAAACGGCAGTTTTGCAGCTTATATTAAACATTAGAATAAAAAGAGGAGACATAGGGGTTCCATGAAATCCACGGGTGGTAGATTAGGGAGGGGGAGGAAAGTAAAACTGGAAATCTCTGGAATTGGATAAACAGTAAAATAGAGGCACATTCTTTTACATTGGTGGGAACAGGATAGCTAATGATCAACATGGACAGCACATAGAGGTGGTATTTGGGGAACAAGGTCACAGTGAGGGGTTCTGGGGTCTGGTGCTCTTATAAGGGGGTGCCCTGAGGGATCTGGAAAAGATTACTCTGATATTTAAAAGGTGCGTTTTCTTAGATGCAAAAAGAAAACAGTTTCACTTGAGGTAAAGGTTCCTTGTCACCCTGGCCGGATGGCTCAGTTGGTTGGAGCTTTGTCCTAGATACCAAAAAGGTTTTGGGCTTGATTTCTGGTTAAGGCGCATATGTGCGGCAACTTATTGATGTTTCTCTCTCACATCTATATTTCTCTCTCTCCCTTCCTCTCTCTCTAAAATCAATGAACATATCCTTGGGTGAGG